TCACTCTGAGACAGGATATTTCTAATTTTAGAGATGTTGCGCAAATGGAAGAAAACAGTCTTACATATTTGTTTATTATGTGCACCGAAGGACATGTCTTGGTCAAAAATGACTCCAGGGTTCCTCACAGTGTTACTGGAGGTCAAGGTAATGCCATCCAGAGTAAGAATCTGGTTAGATATCATATTTCTAACATCTTTAGGGCCGAGTAGATTAACCTGTTTTATTGGAATTTACACAGCCTTTACCACAGAGCCTCACTTCCCTCCATCACAGACATTGATCACACCTGCTGCATCTGCAAAGCAACCACAGTTGTGGAAGACCCTACACACCCCTCCTACACACTCTTTACCCTGCTGCCTTCTGGTAAGAGGTACCAGAGGTACCGGGCCCTCATTGCCAGACTGCAAAACAGTTTCTTCCCCATGTCAGACTCCTGAACACTCAATGAGTGGACTGACACACACACACAAACACACACACGTTCATACAGGTCACTACTTCAAGCACTTATCTGCCCAGTCTCATACACACACAGTGCTCAGTCTTTTGCACAACCCACTGTCATTGTTGCAGTGTCTGCACCGTCTTGTGACTGTATCAGTCTGTTGTGCCTGTGTCGCTGTCTTTGTTTTGTTTTTTTGCGATTTTTGCATACAGTGGTCGCTCGTTCATCAAAGGAGTTACGTTCTAAAAATAACCTGTGATAGGTGAAATCTGCATAGTCAGCTTTATTATTATTTTTTAACAATTTTATAGATGTTTTAAGGCTGTAAAACCCCTCACTACACACTTTATACACTTTTCTCAGACAACCTTGAACATTTTCACACTTTTCTGTCTTGTTTAAACTCTCTCAAAGTTCAAACCTTGGTAGAAAAGTAACTCCAGTATTATAGAATAAAACCAAAGATCAAACTCTGTTTTCAGGTCCAGAACATGAGAATAGAGCAGCTGCCAGAGAACTCAACATTAATGAATCAATGGTATGGAAGTAGAGGAAGCAAGAAGAATGAGTTGAGTAAAGTTTGACTTATCTGACTGTTTTGTTTTGCATAATGCGCCTCACAATACGGAAAATACGGTAACTTCTACCTTCCTTTAGCATGTCCAGAAGTCCAACTTTTTGTGCGATGGTTAGCATCTTCCTCTGTCTTTTAGGTGCTAGCGCAGGTGCCTTTGACGGTGCAAAATGTTTCTTCTACATTGTTGTGTTTGTTGGGGAGAAAACTTACAAACATACTGTACAGCACTTGAGGGCGACACTGCCAGATTATTGACAAGCTGAACGCATTCTGTACTGTACTGGAGACACGGCATGGAGGAGATTGATTGACAATGGTCTATAGCCAATCAGGACACAGAACAAATTGCACTGTTAAAAAATTTTTTTTTTAAAAAAGCATGCAAAATGACACCCCAAAAAAATCTGCGAAACAGCGAGGCCGCGAAAGGTGAACCACGTTATAGCGAGGGACCACTGTATTGCACTTTATGTAGTCCTTTGTGAAAAACACTGGAGCGCACTACCTGGAATACCTACATTATCCTCTAATCACCCTAATAGAATATTACAGTCAACAGTACTGAACACTAGGGATGGGTATCGTTTAGGTTTTATCCGATACCAGTACCAAACCGGTACTTT